GTCCTGGGATCGAGCCCCGCATCGGGCTCCCTGCTCGGCGGGAAGCCTGCTTCTGCCTCTCCCACTCCCCCTGCTTGTGTTCCCTCTCTCGCTATGTCTCTGTCAAATAAATAAAATATTTTTTTTAATTAATTAAAAAAAAAGGCAAAAACACACAGAAAAATCTAGACAAAAATACCCCAGTTATTCACCTATTAACTATTAGTAAGGTAAAAGTAAACTCATTTTTATTCTGTAAACTTCCATGCTGTTAGATTTTTTATAATAAGCATGGATTCATTTACTATTTTTATAATTTTAAAAAACTTCAAAAATTTATCTGGTTAAAATAGTAAAAATGCTAATAATTTGTGAAATAGAAATTGTCTAGAAGGGTGCATGAACTATCAAATCAATGGCTATTTGCTTTTTCATTTCAAAGGACTCAAATGCAACACCCAGATGCAAATATTATTACAGCCTTTAGGGTTTCTTAGTTTCTTTCATAGACTTGTATAGTTAGTAACAAACTTACAACTCTATTCCCAAGGGAAATTCCTGGCTCATGGCTATTGTGGCTTTAAATGTTTTCTTGCTCTCTTTGCACACCAGTTCTCTTCCCAGATGAGGAGCTCTAAAATGGGAAAAAAACAAAAAATTAGGAAACGTTTTCTACATGCTACCATCTTCCTATGAAGAATCTGTCCACTTCTAATGACATCATTAATAAATTAATTTTCCTTACTCTGTATAGAAATAATTTTAAATTATGCTAAAGGGACTTAAGATGTGTAAGAAACGAGATAGGGGTACCAAAAAAAGAAAATAACATAAGGTAGAAGTTCAGAAAAAATGATCAAAGTCAACAAATTTCATATTAAATTTTAATAATCACTATTTTTAGGAATAAAGCAAATTTCTAGAAAAAGTAAAGTTGAAAAATATTGTATATCTCTAAAATCACTATTCAATTCAATCTCTTTTACTGTCTATACTTCTTAGCACTGACCAGTAAGAAGTAAAGAATAAAAAATTCTATATAAACTCTAGACTGTTATAAGCTGGAAACATTTGGGAGAAGTTAGAAAAGTATAATAATAATCCTTAAATATTAAAAAAAAAAAGTCATGACTTCTTCCTAATCATGGAAGTAGGTAATATTTTATTCTCCACCAAAAGGAAAAAAGATTTCTATAAATAACTGTACCTTTTTTGATAGGGCTGGCTAGAAAAAAATCTATTTATTCATTCAAAATAAACCATTTGTTCACTCATCATCCTTTTGTTCAGTAAGTATTTACTACATACAAACCATGTAATGTAATAGGTACTCTAGTAAGGATCAGTCATGTAACATTAAGCAAGGTCTTATGTAAGGATGGCGAGAAGAGGTCTGGCACAGGCTGAAACAGATAGTGACGGGATGAGCTTAGAAAGGCAAAGAGTAGAAAACCAGTGAATGGCTTTACCCGCCATGCTAAAGACTGAGGATAATAACAAAATATAAAAGTTCACATATAATAGAAAAACTCCAGCAACTGCAGTGGAAAATTCCTCACATTATATTTTCTTAGAATAATGTGCTGTTAAGTTTTTTGGGTTGTATAAAAAGAAGGTTCCACAACTTATTCAAATGTAACTGGGGTTGCTTCTCTCCCTCATGACACTTAATCCATATATTACAAGATAAAAGAATTACTTCAGACAAAACTAAAAATTCTTTCTAAAATAATTTTACACCTAAATATTCACATTTTTACAAACCTTTCTTTCTAAAAACCAGTGAACAGAAAAAACAAAAACAACAACAACAAAAACCCTACTTTCCAAAATAAAATAAAACAAAAAAACTTACTTTCCATTTTCAGCAGATATATATTCTTCCCATGTAATGGTGTTCTGAGGAGGAGGGGTTAGGGACTGCCTTCGAACCGGCTGCCAGAAAATAAAAAAACAAGAGCGAGAGAGAGGGAGAAAAAAAGGAAAATGACATATTTTTAAAGATATAAGAGATGCAATAAACTATGTAAATTACTAATGTACTTAAATTAAATCTCTTCAATATAATGCTTTAAGGAACTGCTTCCGAGATAATTCCATGGTGATTTAAGCTCTATCGGTAAGATTTATTATCAATTTTTTTTCTAAATCTCAAATCAGACAAGTATCAAAGTAATAAAGTCCATTAATTCAATGGTTGGTTTGTTTTTTTTAAATTTTATTATGTTATGTTAGTCACCATACATGTTTTTGATGTGGTGATCCACGATCCATTGTTTTCGAATAACACCCAGTG